AGTGAGCTTGTCTGTGGGCTCGTCTGTGAGCTCGTCTGTGGGCTCGTCAGTGGGCTCATCAATGACCTTGTCGGTAGGCTCGTCAGTGAACTGATCTGTGGGCTCATCAGTGAGTTCATTAGTAAGCTCGTCTCTGGGCTCGTTAGTGAGCTTGTCTGTGGGCTCGTCTGTGGGCTCGTTTGTGAACTCGTCTGTGAGCTCGTCTGTGGGCTCATCAATGAGCTTGTCGGTAGGCTCGTCAGTGAGCTGTTCTGTGGGCTCATCAGTGAGTTCATTAGTAAGCTCGTCTGTGGGCTCGTTAGTGAGCTTGTCTGTGGGCTCGTCTGTGGGCTCGTTTGTGAACTCGTCTGTGAGCTCGCCTGTGGGCTCGTCAGTGAGCTCGTCAGTAGGCTCGTCAATGAGCTGATCTGTGGGCTCGTCTGTGAGCTCGTCTGTGGGCTCGTCAATGAGCTGATCTGTGGGCTCGTCTGTGAGCTCGTCTGTGGGCTCGTCTGTGAGCTTGTCTGTGGGCTCGTCTGTGAGCTCATCTGTGGGCTCATCTGTGAACTCGTCTGTGAGCTCGTCTGTGGGCTCGTCTGTGAGCTCGTCTGTGGGCTCCTCTGTGGGCTCATGAGTGGGCTCGCCAGTGAGCTTGTCAGTAGGCTCATAAGTGAGCTTGTCTGTGGGCTCATCAGTAAGCTTATCAGTGGGCTTGTGAGTTCATCATTGAGCTTGTCCTGAGGTTGTCAGTGGCTGTAAACTGCGGACAGAATGAGCCCCACAGGCCCTGACTGTCATTTTGCAGCTGTTTATAACAGCCCCTTTTGCCGAGTACCAGCAGCTTTCAGCAGCTGTCGCCAGGAGATGAATCCGCACACTGGCTACACAGACTGGTGAGTCACTCATTCTGGACTGATGATCTCCAGCTGCATGCTGACCACAGCCCGAAAAGAGCATAACTTTAGGTTGAGCATGAGGGGAAACCCGGGACATGTTTTATTCTGTGGATGTCAACAGGTTGAAGCAGTGTCTGAAGAACAAATTTCGTGCAAATATTCAAACTACAGTATATGAATGAGGTCATTTCAAGAAAGAAAAACCCACGCACTTTAATTTCAGGTATGGCTATCTCTGCATGTGTCTTCTGGACACTTGGTACTTCAGCAAATTTGGCAAAAGCATTTGGCACATTTGGCAAAAGTAGCAGTTTAACCACAGAATCAAAAAAGTTCTAAATGGTGGTATTTTAGTCTAAGTCTGTAGGGTCAGGACAGTTTGCCATGAAAGCTACCACCAAACAGCATACACAACGCACTCCAAAAATGAATTTGACCCATGTTGACACACCACATTGCCAAAGCTTTCACAGCACAGTGGCTAAGTTAAGGTGAAGTTCAACAAATCACAATCCGCCTTTATATGACCACTCGCTTCACAGCAGGACGCTAAAACACCGCCAGACACTTATTAGATGGAAATTTCTGCCATCTAGTGGTTGATATTAAAATGACAGTTTTGTGCGTGTTTCTCCGAAATGAAGGTATTATTTGCCTACCCTGCTCAGAATAAGCGGTTGGAAGATGGATGGATTATTTTCCTAATAAAAATGATTGACATTCCCATGGACTTTGAAGAATCCTTTTGTTCTAATCCAGTAAAGACTTTTTAGCAACACAGTAAAATAATCTATTCCGCAAAAGACATGATGTGATAACATTAAGCTGTATAAGAATTTGTTCTTGTCTGGTATCTTTTAAAAATAGTACAAGAAAAATACCTTAATTATTTGTTAATGCTTAACAGACCATTATATTCAAACAAAAGCATTTAATACAGAAAGGCATTTCTAAAGAGACAGTTGCGGCTTGACTCATCCACAAATCACCACCTTTTCATGGCGGAGTGGTTTGTGTGCCTCAGTGATCTTAGCGGCTATGTCGTTGCTGGAGGGGGGTCTGGAAGTCGTAGGTTAGCGGCGGTGGTCCGGTGCATTGTGGATTGGGTGGCCACCGAAGGCAGGGGCCTTGGCAGACCGATCATCGCTTACAGAAACTGGCTTTGGAACATGGAACATAACCTCACTGGTGGGAAAGGAACCTGAGCTTGTGCAGGAGATATGGTGTAGATATACTCGGGCTCTGGACCCAAACTCCTGAAGAAGAGCTGGACTCTGGAGTTGCCCTGGGTGAAAGGTTCAGGGCAGGTGTAGGTCTAATTAAAGCCCCCAGTTTGGTGCCAGCACATTGGCATTTACCCTGGTGAATAGAAGAGTCGCCTCCCTGTGACTCAGACTGATCAGACTGGCCTTCTTGGAAACCTTGGATGGGGTGCTGGAAGGAAGCAAGAAATTATCATACATTTTAACCTTTATAGGCTAATTCGTACTTCATTTGCAGTATAGAGGTTAAAATACATGGTAATTTCTTGTCACATCGGCACAAATGCACATAAAATACATACATATTTGCGCTGTTACATTAATCGATTGCTGCACGTATCGTTTTTAAAGGTGAATGCATACTTGCATACCAGTTATGTCAATCCCTGTTCATAAGTGTACTTGGCACCAAAACATCCTAGGCCGTAGATCAATGATCAATTTTGTAGTCGTATCATAAGATCTGTGATCGTAAGTCTTGGATACTTGAGTGAAGAGAGGAGCTGAGCTGACAACTGATCACCTCCTGATGGCGAGTTGGATCAGATAGCAGGTTAGAATGCTGGATAAACCTGGTAGGTCCAAACGTATAGTGTGGGCATGCTTGGAGCATCTGGCAGAGGCCCGCGTCCGGGAGAACTTTAAATAACATCTCCAGCACAACTTGTCTTGTATTCCAAGGAAGGCTGGAGACATTGAGCCTGACTGGGTCATGGTCCATACCTCCCCTGCAGAGGTGGCTGAGCAGTGTTGTTGTAAGTGTGGTGGTAAGGTTGTTGGTGCCCACCACAGTAATCCCCGAATCCAGTGGTGGACAGTAGCAGTAAAGGTAGCCATCAGGCTGAAGAAGGAGGCCTTCCAAGCTTAGTTAGCTTTTGGCACTCCAGAGGCAGCTGAGAGGAACCAGTAGGCCGTGTGGAAGACATCACTGAGAGATACATCAAAAACTGAAGTGTGGGAGGAGATCAGTCAGGCCACAGTACAGTAGTACCTTGGAACACAAACTTAATTCGTTCCAGAAGGCTGGTAGAGTTCAGATTTGGTCGAGGTCCAAGTCAAATTTCCCCATAAGAAATAATGTAAATGAATTTAATCCGCTCCAGACACATGCATCACCTTCAAGTCTCACTAAGAGTAGATACACGTGCACCGCTTTCAAGTCTCACTAAGAGTAGATACACGTGCACCGCTTTCAAGTCTCACTAAGAGTAGATACAATTGCACCGCTTTCAAGTCTCGCTGGGAACAGACACACGTGCACCACCTTCAAGTCTCACTATAATTTCCTTTTTAAGTTCTTCAGTTACTCTCACTACTGTCAGGGTCTGCACCCCTCTGTCAGAGTCTTTCGTGTCTCCTCCACCTTTGACCAGCAGGTGTCACTGGCCATCCTGTCCTCCTTGTTGTTAAGGTCTTTAGTGTGTCTACCCAGCTTCCCAAGTAGCCTCATGGCTCAATGATTTGAGCATGTGGTTGCTTAACCCTGTAATGTGGTGTTCAAGTCCCACTTTCTCTGTTTTTGTTTCAATTGTATAAGTTTTTCCTAGTTCCTGTGTTTTGTTTTTGCTTTGTGCCCGTCGATTACATGTCTGTTATTCCCCTAGTGTTAGATTCTGTTTCCTAGTATGAGTTTCATGATTTAGTTTATTATTTTCACTGTTGCCCATTTACCAGCCCTTGTTAATTGTTCTCACTTGTCCTACGTTATTCTTGTTATCCCTCCTTATTTTAGTTCATGCCTTAGGTCAGTTCCCTAGTGGGTCATTGTTGTAGGTCCTGTTGTATTCCATGTGCATTCCAGTAGGTGTGTTTGAGTATATTAGAAGTTACGCTGAGTTTTGTTATTTGTACTCTGCCTGCCTGCTCCTTGTTGCCCTGACCTTTTGTAGCTTGTCTTTCTTCTTCCCCTTTTTAGTTTTGGTCCATTGTTTTGCAGTGTTTCTAGTATTTTCAGTTCTGTTAATAAACCCCTTCTGTTCCCGTGAGTCGCAAGTGGATCATTCACCTTCCTTCCTGCCTGCACCATGCCTCGTTCCTGTGCCATCTCTGTCCGAGTCCATGACAACTACTTTCATCTTTGGTTTGCTGCTATCACTGCTCACTTTCTTAGGGGCCATGATTACTGTATCACTTAAAGTACTGTAGATAAAGCAAAAATGCACAGCGAACACAGGAACATAGCTTTTGCAAGTCAAACTCGGTTCGAGAGGTACCGTGATTCTGAGAGCTATTCACATACATCAGCATCCCAGTAGGTCCGTTTGCCTTTGTTTCAGCCATCAGAGATGCGTCTCAGTCTGTACACGTTTTAGTATGTCTGTCATGTTTTCTTGTGTTCCAAGTTTTCGGTCAAGTTGCAGTTAGATTTTTCTCGACCAACCCCTGCAAGGTCTGAATCGGTAGAGTTGAATGCATCTCGACCCATACAAGTTTTAGCAGAAATGGCCAAGTTTCAACATTTCGGTTGAAATACAAGTGGGAAAAAAATACAACAGACCAGTTCGATGTCCAAGCTGGTCAAGTTAAGAGGCGTTCGAGTTCCAAGGTTCTACTGTAAATGACTTTTGGTCGGCCTAGAAGAGATTCTGACAAAAACTCATGCAATTCAGGAAGGGGGGAGACAGGGTTTTCCTCATGCCGTTTACAGCAGGGACAAATTATGATTATTTTCTTTTTAGTAACATTTTTCTTGTTTCCAGTCTAATAATATGAGATGTACATTAGAAGTACACACAATGCTCCTCTCTCTACATCATAACCTGTAAACCAACCTGTCGCTGGAGGGTTTATTTGTAACCCTCTGCAACTCGCCTATTTTTGCTGCTGTCTAAAATAGCCCCCAGTCACTATGCCTGGACACGGATCTCCCAAAGTGCTCCTCTGTGCTCCATGGGACCGTCCACGGTGGCTTCTTCAAAAACGCTTTCCAAACACCCCATCAAAACGCTGCTCTCAGAATGGCTACAGACGGCCCCTCGCTTGAGAGCCTGTCCGCCACGCTGAGCAGGTGATCCGCTCTCAGAGGTTCTTTTGACAGCTTCACCCCGTGTAGATTTACAGGCTGGTTGCTTGAATACGGAAAAGCTTTTCTCCATCAAAAGGGACATCTGACACCACTGGGGAAAAGCTGATGAAGAGGCCAGTGTTAAGTATTTTGTTATACTGGTAAAAGGATTTATCTGTTAGCAGCTGAATTGCAAATACCAGCTTCCTAGGGAAGGTTAATACAACAGGCTGAGAACTCTTAAAATAAGAAAGTGAGTCATTTCCTGCCAGTGACAAGTCTATGATCCTTGCTCCATATATTACACTGTACAGTGACTAAAAGAGTTCATGTCAACTGCATGCGTCACGCCATGAAGGTAAGATTTCCACATTCCAGGTTGGTGAAATTTGTTCTGCGGGTTTTTTTGCTCTCTATCTGCCAGAGTGGAGCTGAAGTTTGAGTCAATAAATATTCAGTTTGAGGAGCTGGATGAAACAGCAGCAAGGCTCTCTGACCGGCTGGAGAAACACAGGAACACCTTAGACCAGCAAGTCCACGAGGACCAGGTGTGGGTGTCTCTGCTGGAGGACCAGTAGGTTTGCATGATAGGTTGAGGATCCCTAATCTCCTATTTCTAATGAATGTGGTGCTGTAGATATGCAACAGCAGTTTCTCCAATCTTTCCTGCAATGGTAGGTTAAGCACCTTGGAGACGAACCTCTTCGTGACCTACGCAATGGACACTCTTCGCCGCTGCCACTCAGTGGTCTTGGGGAAGCTTCCAGACCTGGCCCCAAGCCTGCCCACGGTCGCCTCGGTCTTACACAGGAAGGCCAGGAATCGGCAGGTCCGGCTGGCTTGGGAGTCTGCTCTCCAGGACCTGGGGCTGAGCAGCACCGACATCACGGCCTTGTGCACCCTTTTCGTCATGCATGGTTGCCGAGCCGAGTATTTTGGGCCAGCCCAGAGGCAGCATTACGTAGGGAAGGTGGAGGTGCTCATACGGAGAGTAGTGACTAACCCAGCTCTGAGAGACGGTTTGCTGAGGGCAGTGCAGGTGGTGGAGGTGGGAAGTGCTGGCACCGTGATGAGTGAAGCTCTCGAGCAATGACACCAAGGCCCCTAATCTCGATAACAGGACGGTGGGAAATGTTCTGGAAAATTTGAGAATAAAACAAAAATAAATATTTAAATGTTGAAATTCTTAATAAAAACAAGGAAACAAAAAAATCTTGTCTTATATGTTTCTGATTTCTTTCGCGAAAGTTTTACCCTGGCCGGTTAGCTCAGTTGGTTAGAGCGTGGTGCTAATAACGCCAAGGTCGCGGGTTCGATCCCCGTACGGGCCAGTTACTTTTGTTCACACATTTGCACATAAGATTCTTTAGTAATCTTAAATGACGACTGACATGAAATTGCTAGCAAGGGCCGGTTAATTGTGACTCGGGCTGAAGAAGTTATTGCTATTATTAATTTCGCAAAGGGAAAAAAGGGAAAAAGCATAGGGCTCGTCCGGGATTTGAACCCGGGACCTCTCGCACCCAAAGCGAGAATCATACCCCTAGACCAACGAGCCGATGCATGCTTTGAGTAGCTGGAAGCTTAAATACGTTCTTAGCTAGTTTTATTGTGTAGTGTTTTAGTTGTATAAGCATGATCATAATTATTCTAATATAAATTTATGTAATACCATACATCGCTTCCTATATACATCGATAATAAAGTCAAGTTATATATAGTAGTTTCGTTAAGAACACTTGCGATGATGTCGGCTGAGTAGGACCTCGTGGCGCAACGGTAGCGCGTCTGACTCCAGATCAGAAGGTTGCGTGTTCGAATCACGTCGGGGTCAATTTTTCGTCCCCAGAAATTATAGTAATTTATCGCTAAGTCAATTAAAACATGAAATTATTTAGTATATATCCTACATCCTTCACACTACTCTCATCCACTTGGACATATTTCAGACTGATGTTCGTAGATTTCAGCTCAGCTTTCAATACTACAGCACCCCTTACACGATCTGGATTCTATACCTTGCCTGTGACAAATAAAATCCTTGAATTCAGTTAAATGCCCACCAACCCGGCTTAAATCACATACATTTCAAAATACGTACAGAAAGTTACATTTGCAGCTGGAGTGTGCGCCGCCCATTATCGCTTACCGTATTTTGAAATAGGTTTCCGCTTCAGTTTTAAAAGTTCATGGTTATCTTAATCACAGTAAGGCATGCAAAAGGTGGGCTCGTCCGGGATTTGAACCCGGGACCTCTCGCACCCTAAGCGAGAATCATACCCCTAGACCAACGAGCCACTACGATAAAGCGCACTATGCTAGCTTTAAAGAATGTAGGAGATGATCAAATATCTGTAATATGTGATTGTATTCTGATGTTAGAATAGACGTATAGACATTATTTCACATTATCATTTCTGATTTTCATAATGAATGTGTATGCATTGATGAACATTTCTTTTCATGAGATCGCTAACAAAACATATCTTATAAAGTTATACGAAAATGTGTATTACTATGCAACCGCTTAAGTGCTATTAAAACCAGAAATATATTAAATATATTATATATAATCTATATCCTACAGAAAACTTCGGAATGTAAGCGTTGGTGGTATAGTGGTTAGCATAGCTGCCTTCCAAGCAGTTGACCCGGGTTCGATTCCCGGCCAACGCATACTTTTTCTGAGAATTCATGAACTACTAACAGCTTTTTCTTTGGCGAGAAACAACACATCTATGTAATATAATTAAAGGCATCGAAATAATCAAACATTTATGAATGTGGAAAAATAGTATTGAAATATGATAACGTGTAGGATATAAAAGAAGAAACCGGCGAGACGGGAAATTCTCCCTAAAATTAGTGCTTTGTTTTTGTTCCGCATATGGTTTAGTCACGCTGTTTGCTCCGGTTTCTCGCCCCATTCATTAGAAGGGGCGTGTCGACTTTTTGGATGCTACGGATGCTGGAGTGTGCGCCGCCCATTCCTAAACTATGCCCCGACCGGGAGCACTATGCTGTCAGTAGCAGCTGATCGTGATAGAGAAGTACATATAATTACAGAGACGTAGAAAACCCTTTTAAAATTCACCCATCCGAGATGGCATCCGAAGAGCTAGCCAAAAAGCTGCAGCGCAGGTTAGAAGTGGAACAGAGCGCTTCGGCGGACCTGTGCGCCCCCTGTGCCCCGGCCAAACTGAGCCAAGGCGAGGGAGAGGAGAAGCAGCCCGTGGTCAATGGCAGTCCAACTACAGAACTGACGGAGAAACTCAGCCGGAGACTGGACATTAACGAGGGCAACACGGAACCAAAACAAGTCAAGGTGTTTAACCCATACACTGAATTCAAAGAGTTCTCGAGAAAACAGATCAAGGATATGGAGAAAATGTTCAAACGGTGAGGAACCATTGTTTCTTTAGATGCGAATGTGATTGGGGTGGGGGGTTATAAAGCAAGTTTACGTCGGAATTTCCAAAATTTTATATTTTTCATTTTACTTTAAGTAAATAACATTAGTCAACATTCACGCATTCACTTATGTTAACCTTAATCTACCTTCACTCTGCTTTTTAAATAATAAAGCGTGGAAAATACATAGAATAAATGCAAAACACAAATGCAGTATATTGAAGTAAATTCACCTGAAGTATTGTTTTACAATTTGTTGAGCAGTTGGATGTCTCCTTTTCCCCTTAAATCTTTACACTCAAATCCTTCTCTTATTTCTGTGAGAGATTTACTGATAAAGTACTAAGTGTCATGGAAATATTTTGCCTTGTATGCAGAGGTTTTGTGTATATATCATTTGTGCCAGTCACAATGTTTTCTCTTGGGCAGTTTTAGTTGAACTTCAGTTGTGCTACTTTTCTAGGACAAGGCCTACTTTCTTGAGTCCAGTGTCTCAGTGACAGGCTTTCTGTTGGACTCTCCCCCTCCCTCTGTCACAATGCTACCTTTGTACCTCTTAGCAAGCCAGAGCTGGGGGGTGAGCCATAATATCTGTCATCTGTCCACTCTGCAGACCATTTGCTTGTCTATCCACTCCTTCCCCTTCCCCCTCCCACCCCCCAACACACACAAACAAACAAACAAACGATAGGCCAGTCAAGACAGGAGAATTAAAGGTGAACATACGCCTGGGGACATTTCCCAAGAAGGCCTGAAACAGTGGAAGGAATCAGAGTGTGGATTCAGTTTCCCTGAAGGTGTACATGTTGTTTTTGTGTAACTGCCTGGGGGCAAGGCTGCTATTTGCAGTATGTGTTCAAATAAGTAGTGCTTATGGCTGTGAGTGATCCCCCTCCCATAAGCACTGTTCCCTTCAGGCTGCCATGGGATGTGCTCTCTTTTGCCCGCATCTTCAGCAGTCTCTCTCCCTCATTGCCGTCACTGGGATCTCCCAAGTCTTTATTACTGACTTTTGCTGGCTGCACGCTGCCCCCATCCCTGCCGGTCATTAAGGTGGTGGTCACAGCAAAGGCCACATGCCTTTCTTATGGAATCCTTTGAATAATTCATCCTTAACAAAGTACACACTAGTGGCAAAATTGTGGAAACCTGTAGCATTTCTGACATTATGCTTTAAAACTTACTACACAACATGGGCAGTAATGTTTCTAAACAATCAAAGAATGGTATCATGCATTGGACCGCTAAATAAGTAATTGGAGTAGCGGTTGAATAAAGTTCTGTGATCTCCAAAAATTGGAAACGTTTCCAGAATTTTGACCACTAGTAGACATGAAATTGTTGCATGCAAAATCTCCACACACATAAATCACCTTATTTATCCAGGAAAACCTTTTTATGCTGCGAAAATAAAACCATAGTTTGTGTTTGCTATGTAATGAGTGGGCCGTCACAATGAGAGGCTGTGATGGAGCCGCTCTTCTCCGTGACAGGCCTGGCGTGGGTCGTAAGTAGGAACAATGCACATTCTCTGGCCGCCTCCCCCCCCCCCAACCCCCATGCCACGACCTCTGCGCCAGGGCCGGGCTGTGCTGGAATGTGCCAGCTGGGACGAGGGCACAGCCACAGTGACTGGGAAGGCTGCCTCGCCTGACCACGGAGCTGCACTGTTTTGGCTTGATGGCTCCCTGCCAGCTCCATCCAGACCACAGATGGGTTAGATCCATCACACATGATTGTTGGTAGGCCTGAAGATTTCACTCCTGCTTTGTAGAGCATTTGTTTACTGTTGAGAGTTATTTAGAGTAAACCGCTAATTTCTTTCTACCACTAAAGCCACTGAGATTTACCTGTCTAAAAATAGTCATTCAAGCAACAGATACTGTTGAAATACCATAAATAAGTTAATCTTCTAAGTCTTCCCCATATAGTGTCACCTAAAACTGTCAACTACGAAAGAAGTGTAATCTACATTCCAGGTTTGTCAGAGATGTGATATATCACATAGTAATGTGTGAATCATAGCCCATAATAAGCTTCCTTTAGACCTATTTACATTCCTGAAGGAGCAAAACAAAAGCTATTCTGACTATGTAGATGATGTGGGGACGTTCTAGAGGTCCAGTTTAAAGGAAACAGTCAAATTCAGACTGTGTGGATTTATTTCTCTGTAAAGACTCTGCTCTGTAAAGACTCTCTCTGTTCTTTTACTGATCGGTGCTGAAGGGTCACCAGCTGTCTGGACAGATACCGGAACAGAGTGTCACAGGGAGTGAATGGGTATGATTTCATGGGGGCCGCAGGTGAGCTGTGGGCAGCCATGTTCCGGGAGTGGATGGGTTTGGGGGTCAGGCTGTCCCACTCACCAGCCTGAAGCTGCTTGGAGTTCACTGTTCTGCAACCCCACCCATTCAGATACTGTGCCCAACTAATAACTCTGTAAAGAGATCCATTAATAACCACTGGCACACCCTCGGCCCCTCCACCCATCTTGCCTGCGGTCTCCAGCTCCTACTGCAGCTTTTACAGGAAGACATACTACCAACCACCCCACTGGTCACTCCACCTCTGCATTCTCAAGCTTAAATATCAGGTGGGAGGGGTCCTCCTCATCGCCAAGAAATTCTTAAATTATCTGTACTTGGGAGGATACAGGCAGAGCACTGATGCCCCACCCTTTGATATCAACACAAGATGACACTGTATTGGCTACTTAGTGGTCCCCTAAAATAAAATGGGCTGTACACTGTGCTATGTGTTAATTACATTAATGTCTGTGATTCTAATCCTGGAATATGTGCCTCTTCACTGATAAAACACCAAAGCTCTGTCAAATCATTGGTGTCTGTGGTATGTCAGTGCCACACACTTCACAGGCTTTCAGGCAGCCTGGGCCTCTGTGAGTGTAAGCGCCAGATGTGGCCACCTTGTGCCTGCATGGCCTTATCACATCTGTTTCAGTTGGTATTTCTCCCCTTGGGGCTAGCCGACTTACCCCCCCTGCAGAGAGCGATCGCCCTTCAAATACACTTGTGGTACAACGCGATAAAGGAGTCACACAAAGAATGCATTGAGCAGCCAGTACCTGAAGTAAGGAGATTACTACACAAGAAGGGACTGTAGGATTTACTGCCCTGACTTGGTCTGACATTTAAAACAATACTGGCTAATGTGTTAAATCATCTCATACACACTGGTACATGGATGTTTGCCAGCCATTGGCCGGACCAAAAGCAGGGGGCATTGTGTGCTTGTGCCCAAGGGAAAAGTGTGTGCTCACAATTGCTGATAAAATCAGGGTTTTCCCCATTGCTGAAAATGCAACAAAAACATCCAAAATCAAACGACAAGCATTTCTTAGCATAATACCGGCCAACTCCTCCGACTGTACCCCCCATGACTGAGAATTCACCATGTGCTTTCAATGGACTGAAGGCTGGGCTCTCTCTCCTCAGGTATGACTCCAGTAAAGATGGCTTTATTGATCTCATGGAGCTAAAGCTGATGATGGAGAAGCTTGGAGCACCGCAGACCCACCTGAGTCTGAAGAACATGATCAAGGAGGTGGACGAGGACTTTGATGGCCAGCTCAGCTACAGAGAGGTGAGGGAGACCAGTGGTGGCCAGTCTGGGGACATGGCTCAGTGCAGTGTCTTTCATGTTATCTTCTTAATTACAGTTGAAGACCAAAAACAAATAAACGAGTGTCATTTGATTTGCAGTGAAGGTTTTGACGTTACTGTGAAACAAAATGGCACTATGGTGCAAGCAAGCAGAATACCCCACTGGGGCAGGAATGGGGGCTGACAGGTGGGGTCCATCTGTGTCCCTACTGCCCACTTGCAGTCACTCTCTCTGAGAATCTGTTAGCCCCATAGCAACAGGTGACAACTGTAGCCTCATGGGGGCACAAAGGCATCCTTGTGCTGGTTCAGCCCAGTCCCAGGCTCCCCCCAGTAATATGGTGGGTGGGGGGGTCACTATTAGGGAGAGGGGTGAAATTGATATGTGCACAAGTCAGGGGCAGAAAAGCAGTACTACTAACAGATATTCAGGCTGTTTGGACACAGGACTGGTATGTTTACTAATCATAACTATATATTAAAAATGAATACATTGAAATATGCATTAGATCATCTATAATCTGCATGGGATTAGAGTGAAAGGCAGTATAACTACTAGCGATCAGAGCTGTAAATTGGGAAGGCCATTAACCTCTGACCTTGACCCCTCCTGCCCTCGCACCCCACCACACCACACCCCACCCCACCCCACCCAGTTCCTGCTTATCTTCCGAAGGGCCGCGGCTGGTGAGCTCCAGGAGGAGAGCGGGCTGCTGGCTTTGGCACGCCTTTCTGAGATCGATGTCTCCACAGAAGGGGTGCTGGGGGCACGCGACTTCTTTGAGGCCAAGGTACGTGTGAGTAGCTTGTAAGGACTTCCTGCAGCACGCTGCTCCTCTGGGCCACGCTTCCATCACGTTTGCATTTGAAAGGTACATTCCCCTCCAGTGCTGAACAGTGTTGATCAAACAAAAATGCTCTGCATCCTTCTGACAAGACAAATGAGGAACAAGTAAAATGATGCTGCCTTCATACAATATACAGCCTTTGTGTGTATTTCCTGATATGTGTCCATTCCATAGTTTTAAAATTATTTATACTGTGAAGCACAGTGTCCTCTAGTGGACAGATAGAGCTATTCAACAGCAATAGAAGATGCTTAGACTGTATTGTCCCGCTAACTTTGTAGCATGTCTTTTTGCTGTGAACTCCACCATTCTGTTGATCACAGGCACAGGCCCTGGCGGTGGCTAGCAAGTTTGAGGCAGAGATACGGGAGGAGCAGGCAGAAAGGAAACGCCAGGATATGGAGAAAAAACAACGACGTGCTGCCTTCAGACAGTTGCAGTCGACTTTCTGCCCTTAGAGCCTGATGGAGCCTAAACGTGGACGTCAGATGCGTGTGGTGTCACTGCTCAGAATGAATAATGGGAACACTACTGGGTTAAACGTCTATCTAGAACTAAAATCAAAATTAGGACAAAAGTCTCACACTGGGATTGTTTGGCCTGCTACGTTTGGGGGCTACGTTTTGAATATTCAGATTTTTATATTTTTCAGTTTGTTGCAAATACTTTATTAACTGAACCTAAAATGTTAGAAAACTGTTCAAACTGTTCACTAGTGTTCAGAAAATAGTAACAGAATCAGAAGTATCGGGTGCGGTACACTCAAGTTTTAATTTTCACTGTTTTTTTTTTTTTTTTTAATGTTGGTCTTTGGGAGGTGGCACTCATTTATGACTATATTCTTATTCCAGCGTCCTAGATAGACAAAAATAGGACATATTTGTAATATGTAAAAGGTTATGCAGGCTGTCTTGGCTGTCTATGTATTTATATGACTTGTATTTAATTTTTGATATATTTGATTTAATTAGTGCTTGCTTACAATGTTTAACTTGAGTATTTAACTTTAATCAGAAGTACATATCCTTTTTAATGTTTGTGTAGCAAAATGAAATTATTAAAATGTATTTTTCCATGTGTAAAACATTCATTCTAATGTGTGTTTTTAAAATTTATGTTGAGGTACTCGTTATAGTTAGTGACATTAAAAATACCTTAATTCGCTGTATTACGCAGATATCAGGAGTTTGAAGGGCACAGTTCAACATATGAAAATCTAAGACCTCAATACGTAGTACTGGATTCATTGCAATAACAGATGTGCATAATAAAATATTTTCAGACAGTTTAAGGACTGCTGATGAAACTATAGAAGAATTCTAGTTAAAATGTAAACATCTTTATTTGAAAAGACCGTTTCACTTTTATACTGGTTGAATTCAAAACATTAATTCCAGGAGGCAGCATCTTGAAATGTACTCTGTTTAAATGTTATTGTATTTTAAAGTTGCAGATGTGCGATACAACCCCCTTGTAGATACACGGTCAAAAAGCTGCACCGTGCTTTGATATGTTTGTCCTATCGCACTATTAGTTGAGGTACTTTTTAAAAATGAACGTATAACACATTATGGGATTTAGCGACATCTATAGCTGTGGGGTAGAATCACAGGCCATCCGGGTACCTGTTAGGTTATATGTGGTCATGTGACTCTTATTCGGCCATCTTGTTGTGGAAACGAAGAGAGACAGAGAGCTCGTATAGAAACCCTGTGCTGTCAGTAAAGCAGAGGTAAGTTAGAAGAGCGAAAATTGCAGTAAAATACAACTTATAGTTCAGTTATATATGTTTCGAGTCGTGGTGACCCCTGCGTCGGCTCGTCCTGGTAGTGCGGCACGGATATAGATGTCCGCATGGCGCCTTGGCCGAGGGGCTTGGAGGTCTAGTTTGGGACTGGTGCCGTTTAGAGGCCGATGGGAGCCGCGGTGGATAGCCAGGAAAACCTGATGCGGCAGCAGGCTTCACAGGCCTCAGCGACTAGCCCCCAAGCCGAGAATGGAACGGGTGGATTAATTCATGAGAGTTATACATGAGTATAACTGAGAGTGTTTATCGGTTCACTTTGACGTCCTATTCTTTTGCTATTCTTCATGGGTGGCATATGACATTTGTTGCGGGGCTCCGCTCCCTTATTTCGTAGTGTCAGGTGAAACTGCTGTACGGAGCAAAAGTTGTGACAGCTCTCGCGACGCCTCAAGCTACCTAGCGTGCCACACCGATTTAGCTACTTAGCTAGCTAGCCAAGGAGCCATGGGGTCTAGATGACAGATAATTATTTACGTTCTGGGACTAATTACTAGGTACGTTATCACGTAGTTGGTTAGTTGTGCTCGTACAGGCTGTAGGACGGCTACGCGGTCTCCCGTGGCCCCTGGATTAGCCTGTCGGCTCATGAATGCTATCCGCCGTGATTCGAACTGGCACGCGAGCTATCCGCGAGGGACTGAGTTTGACGGCTGGCGCGAGGGCTTAGTCCGGCAGTGCGGTCGATTGACGGTGGAAATGAGTACTATTGAGTTTATGGTTAAGTCAGGGGTTTAGGGTTAGTTTTAGGCAAGCTGGTGTTTTAGCGCTAGGGTTAGCTGAGCTAGCGTTAGGGGGGTTAGCCGAGCTAGCGTTAGAGTGTAGGGTTAGCCGAACTAGCAACACAAAAGCCGACAGCCGAGCTAACGCCGCTCGTCCGAGGAGATCCGCGACCACATTCTCTTAGTGCTGTGGGCCGATGCTTTGGGCCACTGTTACGTTGAGATTTGTTTTGGGAAATTAATGTCAATCAGTTAAGTTTTTGAAAAAGTTCCCATATGGGTAAGCTAGTCGGCTAACTAATGCTAGCTACCTAGCTGTGTCATTTGATTGGGCGTTCAGAACTTCATACGTGGTGCAAAGTTTTCAGCGCGCTGTTCATACAAGCTGTAAGTTAAAGGGAATTCTATTGTAATTCTGTTTGGATCATAGAACTTAAGTTAGGTTGTGTTGTGGGGCGCATATTATTTTCTTTGCACTCTAATAGCGCACTGAATGACGATAGTAAAATGTTCATCGGTATTGTCGTAATGCTGTGGTTACTGTAAGATGCTGTCTAGTCCTTCAGCTATACGAAATCGTAATTATACTTTAATAATGCCCCAAGGTGTAAAAGATGGTCTTTGTTGTGCCAAGTCGTGTTCAAGTTATGTTGGTTATGCCACCCTTAACGTTAATTAAGCTAATTGACTAAAAATGCTTAGATAAATGCATGGTGTCCAGTTAAGAACAAGGACTGAAATTAATATCCGGTGTGCATAATTAAAATGCACATGAGACATTTGAGTGATCATGCTAGCTTTCTCAAGGTACGGTTGGAGAGGTGGCTGTTCTCTATGTGATTGTGATGTTTGACACCAAACCTGCTCTTGTTCTGTCAGCAAAGGGGATTCCTCTTGTTAATTTTCTTTTTAGGGTAGGTAAAGGGGGTGGACCACAGACCAAAATACACTTCCTAATTGGGAAAGTAGATCCTGATTGCCTAAAATAGACAGACTGAAATCATATCCACTCTATGGAGGGATTGGATTTAACCACTGTTTTGGAACCTTCTGACAGGGAGTTAGTACCTATACAAGTGTTGTCTTAGATCATGGCATAAAGGAAGAATTTTATTTAGGACAGACAGTATGGCTTTAGGGTATGTTTTAGACCCATAAAAATACCAGGTCAATTCTATAATTATTCAGTTCATTACCTGACTATTGAGGAGCCCGGAGTATGAAGTCTTGCAAAATGGGTTAATGTTATATTGCAATGGTATGTATTTTGTTAGTTTAGTGTAATGGTGGTTGGTATGTCGGTTCCACTTTCTGTATGACGGTACCTACATTGCTATTAAGTGAAATGTAGTGATCTTTAAATGCATTATAAAAATAGTTATAGGTTTTGTTACTGATCATGAAGTTTAATAGTTTTTTTCTGTAGAACTTTATAAAATGGCGGAAACCCAGACACTCAACTTTGGACCTGAATGGTGAGTGTGTTAACATGCTAAAGTTTCCCGAATATGTTTCTTGTATTTTTGTGCTGTACTGCAGCTAGTCTGTTCAGTCAGGTCAGGCGTGGCATTTTCATTCCTTTCTGTCTAGTGTAAATAATACCCAAACTTCCCGTAGCTAATGCTGATCCATCAGCTCTTTCACTTACAGTAATCTTGTAGGCTTGTTACCTGTAGTAGGTCTGTTACCTGTAGCTGGCCTATCAGTTGTTGGGGATGAAAACTGGGGGAACACTGGGTGTGTAAAACTTACCCCGCCATTTGTCTCTCTCCTTTCTTTTCCTGTCCAGGCTTCGTGCTCTGTCCGGTGGAGGAAGTGTCACCTCTCCTCCACTCTCACCAGCATTGCCAAAGTATAAACTTGCAGATTACCGCTATGGAAGGGAAGAGATGCTTGCACTTTATGTAAAGGATAATAAGGTAAGCTTATGATCTGGTGAGTGAGTAGCACTGGTTGTCAAAATTGTTACGGATCTTGTGGCCATCAGATGCCACTTTCAGATTCTGTGTTTGCAGTTGCAAAATCATAGCTCATGGTATACGTCGTATGTGCCGAAAATGAGCGACACCTCTCCCCTCCCATGCTAACAGATTCCTGTAGACTTACAAGATAAAGAATTTCTGCCTATTTTACAAGAGGAGCCCCTGCCGCCACTGGCACTGGTACCTTTTACAGAAGAAGAACAGGTGATGATTGCTTATCCTGTCACTGCTGTGCTCCCTGCAAAAATTATTCAGAATGTCTCTCTTATCAGGCGTAACATACTATGAATAATCCACTAGCATGGTGATAGCATTCAGTAGGTTTGACTGTAATAGTTGTGTAAATGTTAGAGGATCTTTTGGCTATCCAATATGGGCTGCAGAAAATAATATGCAACGTTGATAATAAAATAGTTTACAACAAATATTGTTAGTGTTAGGTTGCATTTTTGAGGTTTGCTGTTTGAGTTGCTTGTAATGACATCAACAACCAATGGTTGGTGTGCTAAGCCTGGTTCATACTTCACTTTTCCTTGTGCCATTACAGTCCCCACACTTTTGTGTCCATACTACATTTATCTGTGGATGCAGACGGTCACGGTCGGTTTATGTGTACAGCAGTGATATTACACCAGACCAGCAGAGGGCAGATATTTTTTAACAAATGGAAGTAGTTTAATGAAATGGGTAAACCATTATTGAACAGTTTTAAAGTTAGTACTAGACTTGTGCAGTTAGTACTAGGATTGTACAAGTAATAGAGTATACCATAGTATTTTGAAATCTTGGTGACAAAATAAGCTGCCTTCATGATCAGCAAATTTTATTGGCGAGATTCCAAAATGCCAGAATAACATTGCCTTAGAAAATGCTGTCAAAATGCTGTATACCACAGTATTAAGTACAATCATTAGAAAGCTAAATATGACAGGAACAGCAGATCTTTACTTCTATGTCTATTACTTTAAATTGAGATTCTCTACACTGTGTAAACGTTTTATTGCAACCGTTACATAATACCTGTGCGGAGGTGTGACCTTTTTATTTATTTATTTATTTATTTATTTAATTAATGTTTGCATCTGCAGAGAAACTTCTCAACGTCTGTAAATAGTGCCGCCGTGCTGCGACTAACAGGGAGAGGAGGAGGAACGGTGGCAGGGGCTCCACGAGGTCGAAGTTCCTCGAGAGGCAGAGGTAAGTCTGGGCATGCCCGCATTCAGCTTGACGGTTCAATTAGCTTACACCAGGGTGTTTCCGGAAGTCCTTTAGAAGAGACTTGAGTGCCAGAGCTGCAGATGTCAGTTTTATGTATGAACACTGTCCGATGTCTCGCAGGTCGGGGCCGCGGTGATGGAGGCTTTTACCAAAGAAGCTTTGATGATGTGGAAGGAGGGTTTGGTCGAGGTGCGCGAGAGATGCATCGTTCTCAGAGCTGGGAAGAGAGGTACCAATCTGGGGTCTGAAGAAGAGCTCTCTATGGGACGCTGCCCATTCTTTGAATATGGACGCTGAATAAACGCTTTGACTTTAATACAGTTAACACTTACAAAGGTGTACCACTTGTTCAGAAGATCTAAATTATTTTAGGGGTATCTAATGTGTGGAAATGCATGCAAAAGCCATTTCTCTACTACATAGTAATTTACAAAATGAACTACTTTCTCTTTAACAAATGGTCTGCATAATTCTGAATTTCCATGGCATTAGACCTTTGGGTGACATTTTAGTTTTGTAGTAACCATCAAACCTTTGTTTTTCTCCTCATTAAGGGGGGACAGAAGGTTTGAAAAGCCAGGTCGAAAAGAAACAGGTTGGTGTAAATTTATATCTATTCTACTCTACTGTGTGTCTACTTGTCAAATATGTAGTTGGAATACTTTGTTTCATTGTGACAAAATAGTCTGTTTGGTTGCAGTCTAATACGGGTCAAATAATTTGGTCAGTTGTGGCTAGGAATGGCATGATGCCACTTTTTAATGTTTAACAATACCGTTATTGTAAATTTGGATATCTGCTGATAGATACAAGTCCCATACAGTCTCTCTCTTTTTTTATGAAAGAAAATACAGTTTCGGAAAAAAACTGTGGCCAAATTGGTATGACTGGTTGTGTAGAGTCTGTGATGCTGAGAAGGGTTCGGCTTCTGAGGTCTGAACAATGCGACAATGGAGCATTATGAAGTGGGACAGTGAAATTACTCTCCAGTTTAAAAAAAAATTATTTAATATACAATATACATTTCTGGGGGAAATGTTCTAGTTACAGTTAGATACCGTTTTACAGGCAGTTTTGGACATTCTCAGTTCTAGGTTGCCCAGTTACCTACTGCTTTGAATTGACAGGCTTGCAGAGCATCTCTTGTATAGCTTTCAAAATATTCTGTAATTGCTTTCAAGCTTACTTTTTTACAAGCATAATATAGTACATGAGTGTTCAGTATAGCTTCCATTTAGTACATACAAAATGCATGGTATGAGAAGGTTTAATACTAACCTAATATAGTGGTTATTGCTTAATTTCAACAATTTGACTTGGAAATTACATCACCTTTGACTGCATCTTAACTGCAGAGCAGTTAATGATGGCAATCATTTTGGCACACCTTTACATAATGATTTTCACATTTAATGATTTTCAGGATTCATATCATTGAACTCATTATGTGCTTTGACCAACTTTCGATTGTTGAATGTTTATCTTTCATGTTGCTGTGGACCAATCAGAGGTTTCCCCGGCTCATTTTCAGCTGAATCATAGTAAGTGTGCATTTTGTTTTGCCAGCTGTTAGGATTTTTTTATGCATATCTATTTTATTTTTTGAAAGTGATTGTTTACTACTCCAAGCCTCTCAAAGCGCCCAGTTTGATGTTCTCTTGGGATGAAAGGGCAGGCTTTTGAAGAGAGTCATCTTCTCTTTCATTACCTCTCCTAGGATGTATGCTGAATCCAGCTGAACAGGCACTGTAGTTTTGTTCCTGCTATTCCACCCTTTCACTGCCATCGCCATTGATCTGGACTACATACTCCTTGTCTACTTCCGCTTTGCTGTTTGTGGTGTCAGGCAGGACCTTGGCAAAGTTGCTCATGTCCATTTTGTATTGACCTAGAGTATCCAGCCTCAGCACTGTGGCAAAGTGATGGTCAAATTCTATCTCTCCTTTCAAGTAAGAAGTCCTCTTCTGGCAGCTCTCGCCAGTGTCCTCTTGGGCAGCTGACAGAAAGACGACCAGCTCAAAGTGTGTGGCACTCCCCTCCTGCAGGGCCTGGTACACCGGGCTCTGCCGGTTCAGCTGGTGATAGAATGTTAGAGGGAAGATGAAGAATGGGCAGGGGTTGGCACCAAGATTGTCCAACTGGAACTCCACTTTGGACTGGTATAGCGCTTGGTCTCCATGATCCTGGTAGAGCACAGCATTAATGTTTACGTCCACCAGAGGGCGCTGCAGCATATTGGTAGCACGGAACATTAGGCAGGTTTCTCCCTGGTGCTGCCCCACAACGGCACAGGGGCTGAACTGAATTGCTCCTGCCCGCTTCTTCGGTCTGGCGATCTTAGCCACAAAGGCCCCTGTGAAATGTGCAGAGATCAAATGATCCATCTAGATCAGCAAATGCAAGACATGCAGTGCAGTATCTAGGGTGTAAGGCTAAGGTGCTGAGGCTCCCATCTTCACTGGTTGTGTGTTCTCTCTCAGACAGCTTAACTACAAAAGACAGGGTGCTTTGTTCCTGGTTATAAACGCCTGTGGCCTTTCGTATAAGAGAAAGGTAAGGAGCATGTGATAACGCGTTGCTGTACCCACCGCACGACAAACCACCTAAGGGATGAGAACCTGAGTGCAGCTGTGCATTACCTCAGCATCACACTACTCCAGATGGAACAGTGTGAGTTTTTTGCCAGTTGCTGGAGTGCCTGTTCTGCCCACCAACCCCCAAATTTTCCCTGTTAGTTGGAGGACCTGCTTGTAGGGCTGGATGTAGATTAACGTCATACCCAGGACGAAGCAATTTCAGGTTAAAGGCCTTGCTCAAGGGCCCAACAGAGTAGGATCACTCTTGACACTCATGGGATTCAAACCAGCAACCTTCTGATTGCTGGCACAGATCTCTAACCTGAGCCACCACTTCGGCCCTTTTGCATAATTAGACTGTAAATTGGGATTGTAAGTTAATATCAGGCTGTCACTTCTTGAGTTCTTCAGTTCCTGATCTACAAGCAAGCATGCTTTTCTCTGCCCAGGTGTCAAATCACTCAGTTCATCAAATCGTCTTCAGTCTGTATGGAAGTCATATAAAAGACTTCAAAGTGGTGTCATGACATAGTCTTTATGGTGGAGCTTGTGCTTCTTACCTGTAATGAAAGCCTCCAGCATGAGCCCCAATAGCATCTGCACGGCCAGGAGGGCAATGGCACTGGGACAGTCCCCACTGGGGAACATGGTGCCGTAACCGATGGTGAGCTGCGTCTCCAGCGAGAAGGAGAAGGCTGCTGTAAAGCTGGTGATGTACTTGACACATACTGTGTGGTCGGGCGGTGGGGCATCGTGGTCCACCATCAGGTCCCCGTTGAGGTGGGCGAGGAGATACCACAAGCAGGCAAATAGTAGCCAGTGGGCCAAGAAGGAGGTGCAGAATGCCAGAATTACCCACCGCCACCGCAGCGCCACCACTGTTCCCCATACGTCCTGCAGGTATAGGAGCCAAGTGGCAGGAGAGCCGGGGGCTGGGGGAGTGTGTAGAGTGCAGTGCCCGTCCTTAGTCACTAGGCGCTGCCGTCGCTGTGCAGCCGCAGGGGACAGGATCTTGACCTCTACATCATTCTCTTTGGCAGCCATCTGAGGAACAATACAAATGGCTAGGAGTGAGTGACTGAATTAGTGCTTAGAACACATAATCCTACACCATGGAGCATTTTGCCTGCACAGCGGTGAGCAAGGCAGGAATGTCCCCTCACTCTGCTGGAATGGAAAACGGAAAGTTAGCACTCTAAATAAAGCCTCTTAAAGACCTCAGTGAAAATCCCGTGCCATTGTACCCCTTGCCTGTTGAAGTCACACTCCATATGTAAATTATGAAAGCATCAAAAGACTGAAAGCTATCCTTACCTGGAAAATGACTGGATGATGACCTTCTAATAAGGAGTGCCTTGTGAACAGAGAGGTTCAAGCTGACCTCTTCGCTTTGACGTTGAAACTCGTGATTTATTTGAAGAGACTCGCAGCTCCTGTTCCCCAAGTACAAATCAGCCATTAGTAAGCGAAAGTAGCCTATGAAACCAGGTTCAATACTTCCACATGTATGGCATGAACCTCTTATGGGTTCTATCACCCCATTCAGTCATTGAAAGGATAATCAACTTTGATTAGTTATTGTGATTGTTGATAGATTTGTTAGCTTGATTGTTTAATCTCCTTCCTAGAGAACTGACAACCTGTCAGAAACATACAGTTTTAAAACTAAAAGGTGGATGTTATCAGGAATACGATAAGGTGCAAGGAGGACCTTTGAACTTCGGATGAAAGAATGACAGATTGTTTCAGGCAAGTGAGTAGAATACTAAATTGATTTAATTGATGCAGCTGAGTACAGTAAATTGATTGAATTTGGGAAGCAATTTGTTTAGCAAAGTTTTCAGAATTTTATCTCTGATTAAGGTTAGGTACTTCTGTAATTGCTCTCTCTTTCTACTGTCTGCTGCCTGGTCTGATAGTTGCCTGTAAACATAAATAAGAAATAGTGAAATAAGGAAATTCCAGTATGTCTTCAGTCTTACCTGTGGCAGTTGTTAGGGAATCTGGTCCTCTAACCCAGTTTGGTTCAGCAAGATGGCAGGGTCCTCTGTTTAGCTGCCGGTGTGAACAGTGTTGTTTAAGTGACCTTAGATCTAAGCACTGAGAACCTGCGGGTGTGAATGACCTTTTTTTTTTTTTTTTTTTAACAAAAACAAATGAGATTATAGAGCCTACAGAAAATCTTTAATTACTGTGACTATAGTTGGAACACACAAATGCTGTTTCTTTTTTCATTACACACTCTTTGGGCTAAAAATTTGTTTCTCCAGCAATAGATCAGTTGCGAGAGACTAGGTGAATCGGAACTAAAATGCTTTTATCAGTCATGAGAGCAGTTTGTTCCATTTGTTCAAGATTGTTTTTCTGGTTTAAAGGAAAATCATTGCTGTCTGGTCCTTCGATCCACATTGAGTCAGAGGCATACTTATAACGTAAAATTAAAACGACCCCTTCTACAGACTTGTTTAAAGCTTGTGTGACTAGTTTTAAAAGCTTAGATTGAAATGGCTTTAATTATTTATCTTCAGAAATTACTTTATCACTCCGTTTTCTACTTACGTTCAACTGAGAGACCGAAGGATCAATTTCATGGCAGTGTAGCTTGATGCTGAGTGCGAATGCTTTAGTTTGCCAAGGGTGTTCAGAAGCACTGCTTTGGCTCTGAATCGGGCTAATGACTTTGAATTGTCTTAAATATCCTACGTTCCATCACATGAGAGGCATGTGCTGCTGCTTGCTTGAAGCGTTCATGGGTCAGACTTGGGATGCTCTTTGTGTAAGGGGGGGAGCGCTCCTGGGTACCGTCAGAAGGGCTGTGTGTCTTCAACAATGCTAGCACTATGTGTCTTCAGTCCAGGAGGCCTCTTTTAAGCATTTAGCCAAATGTGCTCTTACATTCTGAGTTTTTCTGTAGATAAGTTTGTGTGTGTCTTTAGATTAGCACTTCAAGAGATAAAACTATTTTTAAAACCTAAACCTTGTTACCCATGTTAATATTCCAGATTGGATTCCGCCAGCACAAGCTTTGTTCTGATGTATACTTTTAATTCATTATGTAGCCATAACTTGAATGTTTCAAAGCAATGTGAAACTTAACTGTCTTTTAACAAACTTACACATTAGTGTAAAAACTGGTTATAGTATATAGTTAATTTGTTAGATTAATGCCCAGTACAGTTTAGCATAGTTTCACCAATTTTTTTTGGTGAACTGCAGTTTTATTGCCTTACTACTACTTTACTGCAACTCTTCTTGTAAAACCTATGACTTTTTAATGAAGTTGTACAAAAATCTTGAGCTACCAAAGCATTGTGAAACAATGGTTACTCACCAAATGTTGTGGTTTTAGGATGGGGGTTACCCTCAATGGAGATGTTCTGTCAGAAGTGATTGGTGGGTGGGTAGAGTTAGGTCCAGTGAAAGGAGGGGGGCGGAGGAAATGAATAAAAATCCAGGGATGGTAGAAACAGCCTGTAAATCCCAAGGGTGTCTCGAAGAAGTGACAGTCCAGCCACTCAGTCTGTTTGAGCCCACCGCGCTCTCCTTCCGATCTGCAGCCCCTGGCCGAAGCTAATTCGATTGGTCACATTGCTCTGCATGTGGCCAATTACTGCTCCCGGAAGGAGTTGGGAGGGGGGATGTGGGGGGTACCTTGTCAGAGTCCACCGAGAGAACCAGTTGTTGCTTGGAAACCTGGGTTTCTCAACTTGTGGGCAATGGGGACAAAGTGAGTTACTCATGTTTACCTGATGGGAAAAGAGCTTTCGAATGGAGTAGGGTGATTAGTAGGCTGCCTTTTCTTTGCAGGGCCTCTCTGTTTGGCCAACTTTATTGTAACTGAGCAAAAAATGTTTGCTGATTGGTGTGTTGGAAAAATAAGGCGAGGACATCTGAGACAGTGCTGTTTTGGCTAAGGTTGACGCACTTAAATAGCCCCCACCGCTGTGTTCCATCTTGCAGTAAGGTCCAACTATGAGGATGGTGGGACAGGCACAAACCGGAAGCACGACTTCACACGTTCCGAGAGTGAGAACTGGCGCACGTCCCGAGAGGAGCAGAACGGTGAGGAGGATGAGGGGGGCTGGCGGCTAGCAGGCCCACGGCGAGATCCTGACCGGTGGCGCCCTCACAGCCCAGGTGTGCCACCTGTGCCCCCCTCAAATGCAGTCTCTGTGTCTTCGAGTATATGCTTCTCTGTCAGCTTTGATTCCTGCTTTCACTGACGCTGCACGTGTAGACCAGAGTGAGACTTATTTGTGTGTATGGCTGTGGTATGTAGGCCCCCCAGAAGAAGTAGACTGTAAGATGTGCTCACTGTCCCACATGAGTCACCTACAAGGACAAATCCCTGTTTAGGAAGCTCATGTTTAGCTGTGTCTTCCTAAGACATGCCTTGCCAGCCAAAATCCCACTTTGCATCTGTAGATTTGAGTATTTAATATGAACATCTTACCGTCCCTTTTCGAATCTCCACTACCTCCATGTTTATCTATGTAACCGTTTGCCCTGCTAAGTGAAAAGCTGTAATGCCCTAAGAACATTTTCTTTGTTTTCCATTGGCAAGATTAGTCTCCTGCAAGCCCCTGATTACCGTAGTAACCTGTAATCTATTTGGCAAAAGCTGGTATTCATAGCAAGTAGAGACGGGCTTAAAAAACTCTGGTAGATTTAGTCTTTTCAGAATGACTGCCCTCTACTGACTTATTAAGCTGAGAGGATTTTAAAGTTGTTTTGCTGATCATGCAGTATAAAAGCAAACATGTCGCCACTCTCTCACCAGAGACACACAGTCCTGGTTTCACCTGGTTTATATTCCACTAAATTTAAAGTTTGCTTAGCAGACCTGCGGTGTAAACGGGCTAAATGTGTTTGTGCTGCAAATGGGTTTTATTCCTGCTTTAGTAATGGTACAGGCTGTTACCCTTCGGATTGCGGTGAAAGACGGCAGGTGGAGTCGCTGGGCGGCTGTGCTTCTCTGCGTGCTGATTGGCCATCAGCTGTCCTCCTTCCTGTGCCTGTGCAGATGGGCTCCGGTCATCGGGATGGCGGGAGCATCCAGACCAGCGCAGGCGCTTCCCCTTTGACTCCCGGGACGAGGACCGAGGGTATCGACGGACACGTCTCGGCAGTGGTAGTCAGGATGACGAACGGGACAGCCTTCCTGAGTGGTGCTTGGATGATGCTGATGAAGAGATGGGCACCTTTGACTCCTCCGGGGCCTTTCTCTCTCTCAAGGTGAGGGGCACTGAGCTCTCCAACCTCCCATCACGCAAGGTAAGTGAGCACTATGCTTTTCATCTATGAAAAGGAGGGGCTTCCTCATGCATGCTCATCAAGTTTTGCTGCTTATAGGATAATGCCTCAGGTTAATTTGCCTTGCATTTTGCAGCATATTTGCATTAATTGTGTGAATTAGATATTGATGTATCGTTTGTATGCTGCATTTATTAACTGCATCTTTAATTGTCTTTTATATGAGATGTTCTTGAGTGAATTTTATCATGTGGAGGTTGTCAGGCATGTCGGTCAGTGTGAAGAGCAGGCTGAATGTCTGTGGTCTAATGAGAGTCCCTATCTCCCTGCTGTCTCCCATACGCTCTTCACAGAAGGCTCCCAAAGAGCCCATTCCAGAGGAGGCAGAGCTAGATTTCAGGCCGTCGGAGGAGTGCGAAGAGCGGGGGCGGTTAGAGAAGGAGGAGAGTGAGCCGGAAGAGGCCAAAGAGCTGGACAGAGCAGGCTGTGATGAGGAGGGCGGTAAGCGTGCTAGGGCTAGTTTGGGCTCACACTCTCCCTGAGCTCTCTGCTAGTTGCCGGAGTGCCTCACACCTTCTCTGTCCATCTGCAGATTCGGGAAGGCCCCAGGACGAGGCAGCGCCCTCGCAGTCTCCTCCAGCCCCGTCACAGGCTGAGCCCCCAGCTGACCTGCCCTCGCCTCCCAGCCAGCCCGAGAAGACGGATTCCCCCCCTGAAAGGAACGAGAGAGCCGCCCTTCCGAACGTGCAGCCAGAACTCAACCATGCGGCTTGCCCGGCCGGGGCAACCAGCAGCCTGGTGGAAGCCACCACTCTCCACCATGCCCCCCCTGTGCTTCCAGGCAAGTGCTTAAGGGGGCACTGTTCTTTCAGCGAGTGGTCACATGACAGCAGTCAGGGTTTCCCTTTTGTGAGAGATGTGTGCACAGACTTTACACGCATGGTTTGCCTAAAGGCTGTAGCATCTGTCTATTGTTCTTCCTTGATTAGCATGTTCTCCATACCTTTGGATAATTGTAACCTAATTTTTATTAATTAATTCTAAATTTTCTTCCCTTTCCAGAAATCTCAGCCCCACTCCCCATAACACAGCAGAAGTCCCCAGAGATGCCTTCAACACTCCCAGCCCCACTACCTTTCCCAGAAGCCTCTGCTCCAGTAGCAGGACCCATGAATCAAATGGACATTGATGATGATGAGGGTCTGAAGCACTTTGAGCAGGTGGGTAGTTGAGTGCCATTTTTCCTGACATTTTGAGCGACATGGGAGCAATTCCTCAAAGCCGATATGTTTTCCAGTTAGTTTAGTTGGAGGCCTTGTTATTTTTGTAATGCTTTGACAGAAACTGTATATAACTGTAGGAAACTCATCCGTTTTTTTTCCTGTGGTTATTTGGCGTTCAAAAATGTTCCACTTTTTGCAACTTGAGCTTTTTTTAACACTCAATTTTCCTCCCTCACCTCAAGTTTTATTAGATCATGTAGAATTGTCACTTCACGCTGCCATTATGATTTCATTGCCATTCTCTGCAGGAGGCTGAGAAGATGGTAGCATATCTCCAGGACAATGCTGTGGACGACGACCGGTTGGCAGCTAAAATGGTGGATCGGAAAAAGCTCACGGCCCTCCCGTTGACACACGAAGGGGCACTCAAATGGTTCTACAAGGACCCACAGGGAGAGATACAAGGTAGGAGGAGGATTTCTGTTGGGGCATTAATGTTTGTTGGTGGAAGGTCCACCTTCAGAAGGTCTGCTTGTTTTGTGCATGCTGTGATAATTTGCTTAGGTTTCTCAATTTTGTATAAATTACCCTTAAATGCTGCTTTGCTAATTATAGTTCTCAAAGTTGTGACCATTTTGCCATTCGGTTTATTTTTTGGGCTGCTGGAGAACTATTCCTGAAACTGCATGAGACTTTTTTTGAATGTAAAGTTTACACACCTTTTAGTCAACATTACATACTTTCCAAAACTGACTTGCGTTTATCACAGAGGACTAACAAATTTTGAATGAGTCCCTCTTAATATATTATTAAAGTTGCCTCTTTTTAAGTCAGCCTCAGTAAAAAACTAAAGTACTTTGAAAGCAGCAATTGCTCTGCTGCCTGATCTGAAGCGCCTTGACCGACACTGTCCTTGTGCGTCAAATGCTTGTATGGCATCTCTGTTCCCGTCATGGCCGCCTCTGAATAGCTACTGCCATCGCTGTACAGTTTGAGTGATAAATCACTGCTGGACTATAACCCTGCACTTTTCCTCTCCCAGGGCCTTTCTCAAACCAGGAGATGATGGAGTGGTTTCAGGCCGGCTATTTCACCGTGTCCTTGCTGGTGAAAAGGGGCTGTGATGAACTCTTCCAACCCCTGGGTGAGATAATGAAGATGTGGGGGCGGGTCCCCTTTACACCAGGCCACTCACCGCCTCCATTCCTGGTAAGGGCCACCAACATCCAGAACCGACCATATCACACTAGATACACATATAAGAATTCTGGAAGAAAGAATTAAGTCTTAATTAGCGGTGCAAGTTTCAAATATCTGAGACTTCCTCCAGGGTGACGTGGACCAGGAGAGGCTGAAGAGGCAACGCGAGCTGACGGCGCTCAACCTGTATCAGCTGCAGCAGCTGCAGTATCAGTACCTTCTCAGGTAGGAGCCAGGCAGGAGTGTGGGGATGTGATATCAGGGGTATTATAGGTAGTAGTGCCTGGTAGAGCACGGTACGGCAGGGTTACATAGGTTCAGAGGTAGAGATTTCAGGCCCAGAGAGGACAAATCCAAAACAAGATTTTGTTTCAACCAACCAGTTGAGTACTCTGTGACAGTGACTCTTTATACTCAGCTGGTTGGTTGAAACAAAATCTTGTTTTGGATTTGTCCTCTCTGGGCCTGAAATCTCCACCTCTGCATAGGATACACTCTATAGTCTTTGTGTTGCATCCCTGCCGCTCTGATTCCCTGTAGCACCTTTTTCTGGTAGCCATGCTGGAGTTATGTAACCCCTCTTCCCCCACAGGCAGCAGTATGCCCAGGCTCTGGCCCAGCAGCAGAAGGCCGTTGCCCTCGGTTCCCCACAGCAGCAGCAGCAGCCGGCACCACAGATCAGCCACTTGCTCCCACCATACCAGGCTGTGAAGTTAAGGTGGGTGATAGTGGAGACGCAGCGTGCATCAGCCAAGGGAATACGGGTGGCTCTGTGTTGTGGAGATGGACATGGAGAGGCGTGTTGGGAAATACTTCATCTTATCCTGTGTTTTCAGCCCTTCATATTTCTTTTGCTCTCTCCTTGTAGAACATCAGAACCACCTGTGACTCGTTCCATGTCTGTTCCTGACTCTGGTTCTGTGTGGGAGTTGCAAAACCAGACATCACAACCCTCTGGGGCAGCTAGCGTCCAGCATGTAGCTCACAGTGGTAGGTGTCATGTCCAGCACTCTTTGAGATGGCACAGAGCTGGCACTGCTCCTGAGCATAGCGGGGCTCCTACAGATTGCTGGGCTGTAGGTCTGAGCAGCACTCTGAGCTCCAGGGCTGCTTATGCAGGGTGCAGAATCCTAGGGAGTAGCTGCATTGATGTGTCTGTCTTTGTTCAGCCTGGGAAAGCGGAAGCGTGTGGGACCTGCCCATAGAACCTATGGCTGCACCACCAACAATGGAGCAGATGCAGCAGTTGGAAAAAGTAAAGGCTGCCCAGGTAGGCCCTGCTTTCCGTGTCTGAGAGCGGCCGTGGTGCGCAACACCGAGCGGCATGTCTCCGGCACATTCCATTCGATATCAGAACCCTAAACGCCCGTCGTCCCGCTACGTTCCAGCAAACTGCAAATTTTGCCTATTAAGTGTGTAACAAATTTGCGTATGCATCTGTTCTGGCCTCCCAGATGGAGCAGGACAGACGGGAGGCGGAGCTCCAGGCAAAGAGGGAAGAGGAGGAGCGGAAGCGCAGGGAGGAAGAGGAGCTGGCGAGACGTTCCAAGGTTAGGAGATCCCTAGAGATGTCCCAGGCCTTCTAAGGCTAGCTGGGATTTTAGGTCTATTCCATTGATTTAATTTAAACGATGTAAAGTTCCTGTTTGGAGGTAGCCATGATTTGAGGATACAGCGCTGGCAACCCTTTACATGTGTGAACAGGAGGAGGCGCTAAGACGGCAACGGGAGCAAGAGGCAGCACTACGCAGGCAGAAGGAGGAGGAGGAGAGGCAGGCGCAAGAGAGGAGGAGGGAAGAGGAGGAGAGAAGGCAAAGGGAAGAAATGCTCCGCAAGCAGGTGGGCCTGCCGGGGATGGAAGGAAAACGCCCGGCCGTCCAAGCCATTAGCATGAAAGTTACCCCCTCTTTATCCGGTGTCAGGAGGAGGAGCTGCGGAACCAGGAGGAGCTCCGCAGGCGGGAGGAGGAGAAGCGTTTGGCTGAAGAGGCAGCAGTTCGGCAGCGGCTACAGGAGGACCAGAAGAAGAAGGAACAGGAACAGCGAAAGAAGGAGCAGGAGCTCCAGAGGCAGCAGGAGCTCCAGAGGCAGCAGGAGCTCCAGAGGCAGCAGGAGCTCCAGAGGCAGCAGGAGCTCCAAAGACAGCAGGAACTCCAAAGACAGCAGGAACTTCAGAAGCAGCAGGAGCTCCAACGACAACAGGAGTTGCAAAGGCAGCAGGAGCTGCAGAGGCAAAGACAGCAGCAGCAGGAGGCGCTCCGTCGACTGCAGCAGCAGCAGCAGCTGGCGCAGATGAAGGTCAGTGGCACTGGGAGGGTTTTGGGAGGCAAAGTAATTGGTGCCTGAAAGGGTGTCAGCAAGGCAGTTGAGAGCTGAGGCTTGGAGGAAATTGGCACACCCACCCCGGTAAACCACACGTACCGCACTCCTGTTAGACGTCCGTCACTCCCAGTTTAATGTTCCATTTACTCATCTGTCTGCAGTCCCACAACCATTTGTCCTTCTCTCTAACCTCTGCAGCTTCCATCGTCCTCCAAGTGGGGCCAGCAGTCCAGCTCCCTGCCATCCCAGACACAGACCGCCTTATCCCTTGCGGAGATCCAGAAGGTGGAGGAGGAGAGGGAGCGCCTGGCCCGAGAAGAGGTTGGTTCACCCAGCGACTGGCACAAGCTGATGGCGTTTGCAGCTTTTCGGGTGGGAAAGCATAGTTGGCACCCGGGTGGACTGACAAGGAATTCATTACATTCCGCACGCCACAGAAGCGACAGCAGCAGCAGCAGCTAATGAAAGTCCTCCAGCTGCAGCAACAGCAGCAACAGCAGCAGGCCAAGCTCTCGGGCTGGGGTAGCGTGGCGAAGCAGCCACCAGCCGCCAAGTCCCTGCTGGAGATACAGCAAGAGGAGGCCCAGCAGATGAAGCAGCAGCAGAAGAAGGAGCAGCAGATGGGCAGCAGCCAGCAGAGCCGGGCTCAGACGCGAGTGGTGAGTCTGCACCCACTTTTGTTTGTTTTGTTGCAGCTCAGATTTTTCGTTGGTCTAGACATGGGTAAAACGGAACATTGGTATTGGTACTGCTGTTTTTTCCATCCACAGCTGAATCTGGCATTTTAGCTCTCTGAGGTGTAATTTCTGGAAGCTAAAACATGCACATCTGCACAGGACACCCCCCCCACCCCCACCCCCACCGTTCTCTGTACACTCATTTTGCCCAATTAAGGCTGAAGGGAGACTGTGGCTGTTGCCTGCTAACTGAAACAGCAGCCCCCAACCCCCCATACTTGTTACTTCCCAAAAAGTCGTCACTGTTCCTGTAATTCCGCTTTTCCCATAGTTTCAAGTCTGTGAGCTTGTTTGTCATCATATCTTAATTTTGTGCTTGGCCCGGTGGTTTTACCAGAATATACCTTCCATAATTTTATGATCTTTCTCCAAGACAGCTTCTGCTGTCGCACTTACTACAGTCTGATTCTAGGGTGATCGGTCACTTTGGAGATTTTGTCCTTCACCCAGTTTGCTACAACTTTGTCATGTATCCCATCCACTCTCCTCAGCTTGACCTAAATTGGGTATATTTTTATTGACATTTCAGGTGTGTGTCTGCGCTTTTTTTTTTTTTTCTCAGACTGAGTTCCCTTGTTCTCAATGTTCCTCACCTTTTCCCCATCTGCAGAACAATATGAGTAACTCAGTGTGGGGGTCCATCAGTAGCAGCTCCCCCCAGTGGAGCAGCTCGGAACTGGGCAGCAGCATCTGGGGCAGCCCTGATACTAAGAACTCCAACCTGGGCTTTTGGGATGAAGCCGTGAAGGAGGCCACAGTTCCCTCAAAGCGAAACTCCAAGAACAAGAACAATGCCAACTTTGGGTAGGGCACCTTCCCTGGCTGCCGCCTTCACCTTGCCGTCCCTTGGATAGTGCAGCCAACTGATAGCGCTTATCAGTTGATAGTTTTGCTGGAGCGTGACTCACGAATCTAATGCAGACTGGCCAAGGTCAGCGGTGTTTGTCTGCCTGTGCACAGGAACTCACTGAGTGGCCGGGGAAATAAGAAGGTAGAGGAAGAGGAGCAGAAGTTGCTGAAGCTCTTCCAGGGGGTCACCAACAGCCAGGATGGCTTCACGCAGTGGTGTGAGCAGACCCTGCATGCCCTCAACACCGCCAACAACCTGGACGGTGAGTGAGCCCTTCTCTGCTCCTCACCCCTGCTGCTGTTGGTGTTCATTTGCAACGGTCACTCTAGCTTAATCAGCATGCCACTGACTAGCCTAATGAGGCAGACGGGGCACCGGACATGCGGGAGTTAGCACCAACAATGTGGCACCGATTAATGATGATGATAATCAGTTATCAGGTTGTCATCTCTACATTCTTCAGTGAAATATGTTCTCTAAAGGTGGGGCAGAATAGCTCAAGTGCTGTTAGCAGCGGTGCTAATTTTATGTGGGTGCCTGTTTTTTGAGTTCCTGTTTGCCTGTGGATTCTCACTGCTTAGCATTGCAGTGCTGGATTGGGGAAGCCTGATTGCGGCATGCATCTGTACATGACTGAGCATACCCCGATTCACTCTCTGCCTGTCTCCCTTGCAGTTCCTACGTTTGCCTCTTTCCTGAAGGAGGTGGATTCCCCCTATGAGGTCCACGACTATGTAAGAGCCTACCTAGGAGATACACCCGAGGCGAAGGACTTTGCCAAGCACTTTCTGGAGCGTCGTGCCAAACAGAAACCCATGCAGCAGCAGCAGCTGCCACAGCCACAGCAGGTGAGCTGAAGATCCTCTGCAGTCTGAATGAACACCCCCTATTTTCCCTGCATCAGCTAGTGAAGTCAGAACAAACTGCAGAAATTGTGGTGGTGGTGTTGTAATGTCAGGTTTTACAAAACCTGCATTTGATGCTCCTTTTTCTTTTTCTTTAAAAGGAATCTGTCTGGGGAGTTAACCAGACTGGATTACAGTCTATCTTCCAGTCGAATCATGCAAGTATGCAGCAGTCCAGCTTTGAGACCGTGCAGTCTGGGAAGAAGAAGAAGAAACAAAAGATGGTACGAGCTGACCCCAGCCTCTTAGGTGAGTGTCTGGAGACCCGGGGCTTTGGGCCTGGCCTGGCAAGCCAGTTTGATTTTGATGTATCATTCTTTATTGAATGTGTGAAACTGAGGGTCTCTGCTGTTCTGAATTCACTCTCTTGCCTCCCCCAGGTTTTTCTGTGAATGCGGCATCTGAGCGGCTGAATATGGGGGAGATTGAGACAGTGGAGGACTTTTGAAAAAGCCTTCGGACTTCTGCCGACTCTGAACATTTCCATTCTCCGCAAATACAGTTTTACCCTATCAGCATTTAAACAAAAAAAAGAAAAATAGCTACAGCCCCCTTTTTAAGTTGAATTTCAAATGGGAACTACCTCCCCCCAGCCCCCCCCCCCCCCCCAATGTTGAAAAGGAGGGACTGTCGCCACTTTTCTGTCACCGTATTTCACTAAGTGGCTCAGCAGTTAGTTCAGGCTAAAAGCTTCATCTCTTGATTTCAGGTTGGGGGGGGAGGGGTGGCGTGAAGTTAGGGAGTCATGAGAGCTAAATGCCTTGGCCCCCAGAGCCCGATCTCAAGCTCCCTCTGACTTTCTGAACCCACAGACCCACAAGTGGATGTGTTTCCTCCCCCCAAAAAATTTGTCACTCACTACTGGTGCTTATATCTGCAAACTGACGTAACCAGAGGGTGAAATTCCGCCGTCACATTTGGAGGACGAGCAGACAGAATGGGAAAATGCATAATCTCTTGTATTTATTTAAAGCTTTTCCATTTTCTTTTTTTATTTTCTTCCCTTATCTGCCAGTTGTTCGTGGGACAAGAAATATGACTCTGGAGGATGTCCTGTTTTAAGGGCGTGTTCAAACAGTTCTGAGTAGTTACCAATTTCTTGTAAAATACTAGCCTGTTAAAAAAATAAACTTTAAATTCTGCAACTGTATTATAAAATATTGGAGTGATGGGTTGTCCTCTTCATCCCCCTTCCCCTTTTTGTGGCCATGGGTTTGACCAATTGTTTTGTTCATTTTTTTTCCTCATATTCATTTTCCAAAACGGAATAAACTTTTCTTTTGGAATTTGGTGTCCCTCCCCCCCCCAGCTAAGGTCCCGTATTCCCTGCCCATGTGTCATGTACAATAAAGTTCCATGTTCTTCTACGCCCGGCATTGACCTGGCACTTTTAAAAATGTACTTGAATATATGTATACTACATTAAGGTTTGCTGACTTCAAACATCCTGTTTAATCAGCCCTCAGTACAAGAAGAAATACAAGCTTCCATGTCTCGCATTCCTCAAAAACACTTTTTGCTAAGTATGTTTTGCACTGGCATTCAGAAGCTCATCTTTCAGCACTTAACCCGTGGACCCGCACTGTGCATCCCCCTGGTTGGGTAGCAACTGTATCGCTCTTCCAGCTAATATTCCAGCAGAGGTGGGGATTTCAGGTTGAGTACAAATCCAGACCAAGATACTGTTTCAACCAACCAGTTGAGTATAAAGAGTCACAGTCACAGAGTACTCAACTGGTTGGTTGAAACAGTATCTTGGTCTTGATTTGTACTCTCTGGACCTGAAATCTCCACCTCTGTAGTCCAGTAGGGTTTTCTCATAGCGAGCCATAGTTGCATAAGAACAGCAAGCCTACGCTGCTAATGGGGAGAATTTGAATGCTGCTGGCGGCTCTAAATGGAATGACCCTCCTGCGGTTGTTTCATGTTGCCCCGAAAGCTCCCTGCGGCATTGTTGTGGTTGGCAGCCACGCAACTAGGAAGCATTTCACTGCCATCTGGGAAACTTGCTATTATTGCTTGTACCACGACGGGGGAAATTATATTTTAAAACCTGTCTTGTGTCGGGTCCGTGAGCGTGCCTGCCGCGTGTTCCTGGTGGTGGTGATGAGATCAGGAGCATGTGTGGAGCTCACGTTTTGTTCTGCAGATTTTAGATTAACTGTAGGTGGGAACATACCTGGATTCTCATATTCCTCAGTTACGTCCACTGCATTCTTAGCTCTCTGCCACATGTGATGGCAGTAAGTACCGCTGATGAAACTGCGGTGTGGAAGATGACAATGTCCTTAAAGACCTTTTTTAAGTAGCAACCAGCTGCTTGTCTGTGTGTAATATACATGTACTGTGCTTGGCATTCCAGATAATTCCGTTATTTCCACTTGTTTAGTAAGAGTGAGAAGATGGGGCACGGTTGGGGGTGGGTGTCTGCCCAGCGTCCTGAACCGAGCTGGTGCGCGTCCCTGCCAAAGGCACTGAGCGCTTTCCTCTCTCAGCATCCGCTTTGCTGGGTGGGGACATGGTGAGAAGTTTGGCTGGATGGTCTGACTCGCCCAGGAATGAACGAAAGCACCACTGCGTGTGTCTCTGGGTGCGAGGTGCTGAGCTGACAAGGTCCTTATTGTACAGAGGTGCCCCCACTGCCCTCCCTTCCCCCCACCTTTTTTTCGGTTTACTTTGAGGGCATGTCGCTGGGCAGCCTTCTTTAAGCCATGCCTCGGGAGCAGCAGAGGACCCTCGCAGAAGTCGCACAGGAAGCATGGCTGCAGGCTGCATCTCCACACTCCTCTGGCTGACCGTCCTGAGCCTTTGCCTGGCCACTGCCCGCTCAGGTATGGATCCGCAGTGTTCTCGCCTGACTTGCCGATGTGTGTTAGTGTGTGTGCATGCATGCTCTCTGCGTCCTTGCCAGAGAACTTACCTTAGGTTACCCTCTAACTAAATGAGAACAGAATGAAAGGTTTTGTATACATCTCCATGATGTTGAAATGTCTGTCTTATATGGGAATATTAGTAAGGAATAAAGTTTTCTATCAAAATTGGCTCTCTGTACAGTAAATACTGAGGTTTGTGTTTTTGTATTTGCTGCGCTTCCCCTGAGGTGTTCAGTTGGTCTGTACTGCCTTGTTTTTTTTGTTGCACTCTGGTGAGTTTGATGCCCAGTGCTTGAAGCTTCAGTCCCACCATTGGCTCATTCTTATTTTAGTTTAATGAATGATTGGACTTGAAAGGCTCAGTGGCTTGAAGCAAGCTGGAGTTCTTTTCCTTAGCTTCAAGTGACTCTTCACATCCATCACACCATTTTGCAAAGGCTTGGCTAGGGAGATGGGTGAGAGTCAAGGACTGGACAAAGCTGGGGTTTGTCCGGGGGTCTGTACCTTGAGAAATGACGACACGGACTGGGGAGGACAACATACTGTGTATTTTCACAGCACTTTCTCTGAGAATCCCAGTTCAAGGAATGCTACAGACTTAACAGGGTCATTTGCAGAACACTGTTGGTGACCTTAAAAGCTGGTTTTGCAAGCCTCACTGGGACCATACTGGGAGGACATATTCAGTAAATGGGAAAGCTGCTTACCTAGTAACTTTATACTGGGTGGTGGAATAAAGAATGCATTTGTGATCCAGGGACCGAATCCTATGGACAGAATGAGTCATGGAAGCTGACTTTAGTCCTGCCTGTTCATTCTCCTGGGTAAATATTACACCCACTCTGCCTAGGAGAATCTATCAGCCATGTAGTAACAACGCTACTTAGTAAGCAGACAGAATTATCTCTGAAATATCTCGAACTTTCTCACAGGAAGGAGGTGTTCTTACAAGGGTGTGATTCTCGGAGTGATGTCAGGATGTCAGTGGCTTGGATGTGTGACCCCTTCCAACCCCACATCTGGACTGTGATGCAACACAAATATTTACGGCAGTAAAGCCTTGTAGACCCTGGACCTGGTAGGGTTTTATTTTGGGACTAGATTCTACTGTGTTTATCATGATAAATCCAAAATGGGGGGGGGGGGGTGACCTTTACCTCAGTATCTCCTCCACATTAGAACATGATGTCGAGGTTCTGATCATTCTCCTCCCCAACAAATAATACAGAAGCTATTCAGTGATATGCTATCAGCAAAATATCCAAGGTATATCTCATGACTGATGCCAAGGGCCAAAGTGCTACGACATGAGATGAATAGGGTTTTACTTCAGTGTAGTCGTATGTTTTCTGACCAGATTCCCTGCAGGATCCCAGTTCTTCTTCGTACAGGATGGAAACAGCTTATACTGATTACGAGCAAAAGCTTTGTGGACAGTCTGCTGGCTGGGCTGCTCTTGCAGCTAAGACTTTCTGTATCGAAAGCCAAACAGTGTTGTTTGGACAGGTGAGACTAGGACACTGGGTGTCTGGTCTGGGGAAAGGATACTGCTGCTCTTGTGTGGGAACCTCTGTCTAATTGTTAGATATATGCCATTGACAGCCATCTATCTTGGTGACCTGAGATCATGTTGGTTGACCCTCTTACCAGAATGGATGCCTGAGAAACTTTATTCACTGTCTGCAGAGGTGGATATTTCAGGTCCAAAGAGTACAAATCCAGACCAAGATTTCGTTTCAACCAACCAGTTGAGTACTCTGTGACTGTGACTCTTTATACTCAACTGGTTAGTTGAAACAAAAACTTGGTCTGGATTTGTCGTCTCTGGACCTGAAATCTCCGCCACTGTTCCACAGCATTGTTTGCTGTTCTTGCCGTAAAATGATAAAAACAAGGATATCTGGACTTCTGGCAGTGTATTAACAGTATGGTCACCAGCAGTATTCCTTCTGGGGAAGCACATTAAACATGCAAACTGATTGATGCGTCGTGTGTTTCGTTCGGGAATGCAGTGTCGCGCTCAGCCTCCCTGTTTCTCCCAGAATCCTCACTATACGAGAAGCTCAGCGGCCAGACATTTCACAGGCTCTGCCTACCGCCAAAGAACACTGCGTTCTCGACGTGTCGATTGTCCCTCGTCATCAGCGAGGCCATGTGAAGCTGGCGGGATGAACTTAAGCCCCCAGATCGTGGGGAGCTTTAGCCTGACGAGCTTCTGCTGTGCCATAGGCATGGTTTTCGAGACGTTCCACATTGCAGCAGAAGTGCTAAAGCGAGTGGGAGGTAGAAGCCACTTTCAAACGCTGCCTGGAAAGATGAATATAGACACAAACCGTTTCTCTGTGCCAGCGAGATGGGGGGGCACTTTTCCCTTATTTGCGTGTCTCTCTTCTACGTTTCCCCTTTTCCCTCCTTTTTAAATATTTTTTTCACAAGAAGAACTTTTTCCACAGCTTTTTGGTAAATAAGTTTGTTTAACATCCTGCACCATCGTGGAGTATTCGCCCACTCCCGGTTTTTAGGAACTCTCTATGCCCAGGCCGCACAAGCAGCTTTTGTGCCCAGCCGAAAAGACCCCATTGATGGGGAGGGCTGGCACCCTCCCAGGACGCTGTACCTATAGCATGTTCCAGCGCCGACAGGGCGGAGCTGCTCTGTGGCCAGTAATCAGACAGCGAATCACTACACTCTAAAAATACTGCTACCTGACAGTGAGGCGGCCAGGCTAAATGCGGGAAGAAGTCTCCTTTTCATGAAGCCTGTGATCCAAAAATCGAAGGGCCCCCCTATCGCCCTGGCAGACAGAGAGAGATGTTTGTCCCTCCTGATGTTAGTGAAGTAGGAGCTACACTGGGACTTTGAGAACAGGAACAGGAATCCCATGTGTAATCCCATCAACGGTCATCAAGGACACTGCATAGATACAATAAGCGCTTCAAATGGCTAGTCTTCCAAACCCAGGGAGTGTGTGTCTGTGGGGGGGGGTAGGCTGCCACATATGTGTGAAACATTGGACAGTGTCAGGCTGCCCGGGCCTGTGGAATGTGAGCAGGAGATGCGAGAGGCCTGGGGCAGAGGTGACCTGAAAACAGCACAAATGCCCCATGCTCCCAAATGCCCCATTATCAACACAAAGAATCGCTTTCACCAGAAGCCCTTTGGCTGTGGATGTGGGTTTTGAAGAAGACAGTGGCAGAACATCAAAGGCCCTGACTCAAAAGCTTGATGGAGCATATCTGACCATTGCTGGTATCAGTGGTGCAGACCTTCTCTGCAGGCCTTAGACTGGCTTTCTGAAAAAATCTCATAGTTGCCTTTTTTATCATGGTTTTTACTCAAGATAAAAAAAAAAAATCTGCACATCATGTTTAGAATAGAATAGAATAGAATAGTTACTTTATTGTCATTCAGAGATACACGGGTTAGTGCACAACAGAACGAAATTGCGTTGCATTTATTTTGCTCGACATCAGCCTGGCAGAGTGTGTAATAAAATATACATAAAAAGATGTATATATAAATATATAAATAGGAGCAGAGTGCAAGTACCACAATTTAGCAGCAAAACACACAGTGTACATCACCACAAGACATAGTGCAAGACAGTAGACCGTGCAAGACACAGTGCAAGTTCTTTGAAAAGTGACATGTGCATGGATGGAGAGACACGGAGTGTGGGGGAGAGGGGTGTAGGGGAGGGGCTGTTATGAGTTCAGGAGTCTGATGGCTTGAGGAATGAAACTGTTTCTGCAGAGACCGGGGCCAATGCTGCCCCCACGGTACCACAAGATGACCCCGAGATATCATCCGGCGGTGGGGCGCATGACATCACCACCAAAGGTCCCTTACATAAACACCCGGAAACCACCTTCACATTCGACTATGAGGACACGACTCGTACCCAGGATGGACATGGAGAAGCAGGTGGAACATGGAGAAATTTTACTCAGAAGATGGAGGTTTCGTGCGTTGATGTTGATGTCGTGGTGCTGTAAGCAAAATGGCTACAACAAGCCTTAGAATCAGAATTTTCTATTGTCATTGCATAATTGTACAAACTTGGCTCATATCAGCATTACTAAACAACAGCAAACACACATGGTAAAAGCCAGCTACAGGAACAGCACATATAAATACGGAGTGAACTCCAGAGGCATGGCAACATGGTGCTGTAGTAATGATGTGTGTGTGTCCCTCTCTAGGCATCCTCAGCCCTGGTGCCATCACTGCCATCGTCATCGCTGTGATCCTGGGAGCCTCTGTGCTCATCGCCCTCATCGTCATCACGCTGAAGAAGTTCACCGCTGCCTAGAGCTGCCACGGCCGCCTCCTCCCTGCCGTAACCCCCTCCATCTCCCCGGTGCTGCCAACCGGGGTCCATTAAGCCCCACCTCTGCTCCGCCATATGACTGGGGATGGGTGACATGAGAGTACTAGGTGGTGTACTCTGGGGTGGAGATCCACAGCGCCACCTAATGTCTTTGCAATGTCATGTACTTGCCATGTGTATATTGAGATACTCTTTTCCATCCCATTTGAGCAGAATTTTTGGATACCTTAAAATACATTATTTGTTTATGTTTGCAGCTTTGCTGTCCTCTTCCAGTTAAATTTTTTTTTTTGAAGAGAAATATTGAGTGTTGCCTGCCTTTACATATTATGGCCACATGGGGGTGTTTTGAGGTAACATAATTTACCCCAAGCACCTTGTTCTCACTGTAGCAAAAAGCTAATGCCAACCAAATTGATACCCTCATAACCCCAAGAAAGAGAAATTACACTATGCGGGGAGTGTATTCAAAGTAACCCCCCCCCAACAGGTTTAAGGTCACTGCGTGGATGATACTGTTGTACATAATGGGAGTCAGTTTGAGCCAAACACAATTACTGTGATTTTGCTTCAGTTTAGGGGGGAGATTTTTGACATGAAAGTATAGATTTTTATGCTTGGCTGATACTGTTGATCCAGTAGGTAAAATGTAAACTGATTTCTGTAGTCAATCTAGTGCTGTATAGATCTGTAAATAAATACTTAGTTTTACGTTAATACGGTAGTTTTTTTTAGTGCAGGTGTTTGAGTACACAGTGTGGTTCTGTGGGCAGCGAGTCATGTGTGCGTTTCTCACGGGACACAGAAATATGTGAAGTTACATGCGTCTCCTTTCCTGAAAGCAAGTCATTGATTCTGCAGCAAGAGCACCCATGACCAAAGTGGATACAATTTAAAATGAAGTGTAATGATTTCAGGAGTCACATGATAAGCAGCTGTATACCCTCCAGCCCCCACATTGACCTCTGCAACACATTTGGCTTTTAATGGTTTTCCGTAGAATAGAAAAAAGCCAGAAAAGGTATTGTCTTGTGTTTCTGAATTATTTTTTATTAACAATAAATTAAATCTTACAAAATGATATGACAATTTCCTCACTTATCTCCACACACAAAGCAAATTTACACATACATGCACACATGTGTGCTGTGCACATACATACACACATAGATGGGGAGGCCAACCTGCCCACACTCTCTTCTCTCAAACAACTTCAAAGTTCTGGCAGATTCCATCGAAATTCTTTGGGCACAAGATGTCAGACTGGTTCTGCAGGAAGTTCCTGGTTGCAGGCTACGCCCCCCCCCCCTCCATATCTCCGAATTATTATATGACATGTTGCTTGTGCAGTGATTTTGCAATATTTTCTTTCTTCATTGAGTTACAGATCGAACAACAATAACAGCAAGTGAAACAACACTGTCAGCTGATCTCATAGCTCTATATTGTTGTATTTGCTTAATTCAAGCTTCGTTTGTAAAGATTACAGCATGTTGTGGTGCAGCGGTAAATCCAGGAAGATGGACATGCTGTTGGCTCTTCACCAAGAGGAAAAACACCTCTTCGATCCTCCCTCCTCATCCTCACACGGAAAGGTTCACGGTGAGGTGCATTCTGGGTCCTGGTCCCGGAAGACTACGCCGCTCCAAGGATTAAAGAAAGCATGTAATGTATGCTAATGCAAATGCTAACGTTGAGGTGCGCAGACGGAATGATCAGCAGCAGGAAGGTGGTTCCTTTCAGGAAAGGTCATGACATTTTTGACCCCTAGACGCCCTCAAAGGTAACGGCTTAACACAAAATAACAGGGAAGTGGGAGGGACATGCCATACCAACTCTCTAGTCCTGTATTGATTGGTGGGGTCGTAGCCAATCGGGGCTGACAACTTTCTGCGGACCTCTGGCCCGGGAACCGGCCAGCGAACGGCCAACGGCGCCCCCCTTGGCCTGCTGTATCCTCTGGCACTCACGCAGGTTCTGCGCCCGCAGCTCCTGGTTCTTGATCTCCTCCACCACCCGGATGGGGAACCAACCCTTCTCGCCATCGTGAAGCCTCTCACCCATTATCCAGCCTGGAGTGATCAAGGTCATTAATTTAGGTTTTAAATTCTACAGGCGTACAAAATGCATATAGAAAAAATGCCTCTGTGGTGTAGAATCAAACTACGATGAGGCTGCATTCAGTCCGGGAAGGTGAATTCCACTCACCGTCGTCAGTCCTCTCCAGGATGTTGAGAACGTCAGCCATCTCGATGGAAAGTTCATCGGGTTCTTGTGATGAATAGGACTGTATGCACTGCACTTGGGGTGAGTCTGAGAAACAGTCCATGGTTATCATCATTATCACGGTACACATCTCCCCGCCGGGCAGAAAGAGAGCCTGCTGCTCACATTTACATTTTTAGCATTCTGTTTACTTAACAGATGCTTTAATCCAAAGTGACATAGAATTGAGGAGGCAGTCAATGTGTCCCTGGAGCAATTTGGGGTTAAGGGGCCAGCTTAAGGGCCCAGCGGTGAATCCGCAGTCAACCCCGTGATTTAAACCACTGACCATCCACTGACAGTCCCGGCATCCTAACCAGCTGAGCAACATACCGCACGCCTAATCCCACGACTCGGGTGGGACTCGAACCCAAACTTAACTTGCTACCTACTTAGCCACAAGAAGGGTATCATCCTACAGCACAGCCAGCCGGACCTAGAGCTTAACGAGGCTGTTTTTCATAGTGGCAGCACAACTCTGGGTGTTGAAAACAGTAAAGGGAGTGATACAGCAGTGAGATCACAGTCCCACAGTCAACAGCTGCAGCAGAAGGTGGGACGGAGGACAGGGGGTCCGTATTGGGGGGTGTATGTAAATGGCATCACCATCCTTTGACTGGCAGCCCAGCAGCAGATGCAAGGCAGAGCCACAAGCACAAAAAAGCCTGATTTCCCCTGTGTCCCCATCCACTAATTTTCCCCACAGGCAACGCAGGCCACTGTAATCCCCAGAGGAATGCGACGCTGCTCTGGAATCGGCGCTAATTACTGTGCAGAGAAACGGGACACTACAGAGCTCTCCACACTAATCCGACATGCCGGCGGCTGTCTGAACTGGGGGGAGGGGGTGCACGCTCTCCACCCTCATCTGACATGCAGAAGGCGGGGGGCGTACCTTGGAGATGGGTTATGGGCCGTGCTCACAAATCCAATATGTTTATACATCTGCCCCCCCCCTCCAGCCGCTAATGCTCCAGTGGGTCACAAATCCACATTGGCGACTTAGCCGGCTTGCTAAATCAGAGCCCCCTCAGTAAATGACACCCTAGGTGGCCACCTGTGTTGCCTAATGGGTTATGGTGTTGGCATTGAATAGGACACTTCATACTGTAAAAGGCACCATCCGCCTCTGCTGATGGATCATTCACCGTATCTCCTAATATACTCAACGTTGTAGCGAGACTCACCTGGCTGGTGGGCGCTGGTGGAGAGGAAACGCGTGCGCCGGTTGGGGGTGAGGGAGCAGATCCATCGCAGCTTTTCACTCCTGCAGGGGGCAGCAGTGCATCGCAGCACCAAAGCAGAGTATCAGACGGTGGAGAAAAGCATGACAAACCTGCAGCACAGTGTCGATTCGGGGTTAGAAGCTCACACGCTGGAGGTCTTGAGCAAGTAGGTGACCTGCCGATCTTCCTGGTTCTCCAGAAGGCTGAGGGTGAAGACGTTGGCCAGCATCTGGCCCTGGTCCTCCATGTCCTCCGTCCTCAACATGGCCCGAGTACAGGAGTCCAAAACCTGATACTTTTCCCCACTAACCCAAAATAAGTCCAAATGGATCACATTAATTTAGTTTCATTTCTGTTCTCAATTTTTTTTTATTCAAAAATGATTTTATGCAGCGATAATTATTAGAATAAACAGGATCAATGTCCTTGCAATTGACCTTAGTTATAGTATCACTGCTACCTCAAAGTTCACCGTAACCTGTAAGTATTCTGCCACACCTGATGGTGGCGATAGACTCACTTTGAGCTTTTCTTGGTAATGAGCAGCAGATTGTTGAAGAGGAAGAGGTAGAGGGGCTGGTACAGCTTGCGGCTGCGCATGGTCCTGGTGTTCTTGGGTCCGTTCATCTGCTGGAGCTCGCCCTTCTTCAGCAGCCAGCGGGAGTGCGAGATCACTGGCACCGACTGGGGGGACACGGGCATGGGGGGGGGGGAGGCAGGGTCAGCTTCATGGAAATGGTGAGGCAGTCATTTGATGCCTTTTTTTTAGTACTTATGTAAGATGATACCCAGGGGGGAATTTTTTCACATAGCAGCAAAGTACAGGAAGTACACAGATAGCAACACAATAGCAAAGTGCAAAGTGCAGAGAGAGCACACACTGGGCAAACAATATTGTTCAGGTAATAAATCAATAGTCCTACGCTGAGAAAACTCCGCAAGTATTCGGTATGCATCATGCTACCTGCCGCTAAGGCACATCCAGGACCAGTTACCATGATGCATTTTCACAGGAACCTGTTTGGCTGTCAGCCCCTGAGAAGCCGATGTGTCATACGTGGTCCATCCCAGCCCTCCTGGCCCATCCCAGCCCTCCTCCTGCCCAGCTCGGCCAGCTTCATCAGCAACACTACCTTGCATTTGAACTCCAGCATCTTCTCGATGCTGATGAGCTCCTCCGTCCTGCTCATCTTCCTCACGCCCTCATTGCACTCCTTCACTATCTGTAAGAGGCACAGGCACGTGATGCAGACACCAGCACACCTCCCCTGGCATTTGGGCATCTAAGGCAGGGGTGTGAAACTGCAGGCCTGGGGGGGCCGGAGTCCTGTGTAGCTTAGTTCTTTCCCCGTTCCACCACAAATGATTCAGCTCAAGAGCTGTGTGGTAATTAGCACAAGTAGTTGAATCTGGTGTGTTAAACGAGGGGAAACCCAAAAATGTGCAGGGCTCCACCCGTGATCTAAGGTAAGGTTTAAAACGCACCCTCTCCAACTCCTCATGGGCCTTGACAGTGTTGGACTCTCTCTCTGAATTCTCCTCAGCCTTTTTCAGGATGTTCTGTGTCAAGAAACAAGGCAATCGGGAAATGTGATTTGTTGAGTGGGACCCCCGTCTGCCCGTTATCTTGCTCTTGGCCAATCAGCTGCGGTTTTCATTCAGGACATGTTTGGAGGCACAACAGTAGGCTGCCTCTACAGCTCATGCATCGGGTGTCCCAACTAACCTGAACCAGCAGCTTGAGTCGCGTGATCCTCTGAAAGGGGAGGATGAGGAAGGAAGTGAAGGACAGGCCCCGGACTTTGGGCTGGTTCTCCAGCTTGGCCATTGTCTCCCGGAAAGGTGCGTTTCCCTGTCTGGGACAAAGCACACAGCTGCTTGACCGAGAGCACCATAGATCTCGCCTCCTCCCATCACAGGTCTGAAGAGGAAATCAGCTTTCTGTTCCAATGCAAATGCAATTCATGAATTTGACCAATAGAGGGCACTTTCCTGAGTCTGTATACTGATATCTAGTATCTGATCCTTTTATCTGGCAAGTTAAAGTGTTACCAGTTTATACAATCAGGTGAGTTAGCACCACATGTTCTAATTCCTTGCTGTGCAGTGATAGATTAAAGCAACAAGGGCAGGTATCACATTTAAGCCGTCCAAAAGTTATGGTGAAAGTAAAATTGCCTGTCTGTAAACCTGCATACAGCTGCAGTCACACACTTGAGCGGCAAT